GGAGTATGTATGTGCAGATATATTTTGCTATTGTTGTGGTTGCAATATATCATGCTGAGAATTCCAAATTGTTCGGAATAAAGTGAATTATTATTATTATTGTCAAGATTTCTGCGTAGATTTCCCTCTTAGATATGCTGAAATCATAACTAACATTATCCCTTCTTCTGTTATCAGTCCTTATAAACGCATAAATAAATTTCGAAGGATAGTTTACTAAGAAATAGTGTCTCTTTTGATATGTTTCAGTTCCTTATTTAAGTTTTCTGATTCATTCGACAAACTCCTAGCTTATTCACTTGGATATCTCAACATGGCTACTTTGATTGTTATGGGGTGAGATGATATGGAATTCAAGTATCTGCTTAGAATATTTTGGTTTCCTATGAGCATAGATATCAAAGATTGTATCTCTTCATTCTTTTTCTTCATTTTCTCATTCATAAGTGAATTGGATTATATTTACTATCCAGTTAATGTGTACCAAAAACATTTTAAAATGGTTTATACTTCAACACAGTAAATTTGTCATCTACGAATCATCATCAATATACTTTTGAGTTGGGTTAGAATATTCCTAATACAAACGTTGGACAAACTGATGCTATGATTTAGAGCGCTATGAGTGTTAGGTTTCTGTAATGGTACTTGTAATTTCTCGTAGCTATACAGCGCCGAATTACTATACGTCTGTTAGCAGCTTGGCTATTATGCGAATGCCTCGATATTACTGTTGGATATTCATGATGTTATATTTATCTTGGTGACTATAAGAGGACACAAGATGTGGCTTAATGGATAACTCTTCGGTGTTTAAATAGACGTTTTGAGGTCCGAGTCTAGGTGAGAACAATATCACTTTGCACTGGGGTGTCGATACATCCAGCTGACGAGTCACAAATAGGATGAAATGTGCGTTCCGCATTCCTCTGGTAGTCACCAAGATCAATATAACATAAGTGTGAGGTTCATTGATGGATTTGTGACCAACTTCCATGACGCTATTGCCAGAAAACAGTTTAAACATGCATTTAGTTGGATAGAAATTCGAAATCACCTTCTGCCTATATTCTTCATGAAGTCTCGCATTTTTTCTAAATAGAAGCATATTAGTAGTCGAATGAAAATATAAATGTAAGATAGTTGGACGTAATCGGTTGGAAGTCTTAGAACTAGATTTTAGGCTTGTTGTCATTCGTCAACAAGGCATATCTGTAACCTCAAGGGAACTGATGTTGCTTCTACAGTTTCAACCTACATGTAGGAATGTTATCACCTCCTATGGGAGTAGATGATATGTATAGATTAGTCATCAATTTCATATTATCTAGCCTTGAGTATTGGCTGATTTCTATCGATCATTTGCAGTGTGGCTAGTAGGCTCATCATTATGGTACACTTTGACGAGTGTTAGTTGCTTGGAGGAGATCGGCAAAAAGCCCTGCTCAACTGGGTTGAATTTCGTAGATCATTTAATGTTTCGATTCCTACCTGTCTGACCAAACCTCGATTGGTGGAGGGGGTTGGGGGTTATAGCGGTGTTCGAACCCATAACTTATTGGATTTTGAAGGGTTTGTGTAGGTTCAGAGATATTTCAAGTTGGTATTCATAGTAGACTGACATTAGTTGGATGAACAGTGGAAACTTAGAAGCACTGGACATCTGTTCCGTCCTAGGATGGGACTCTCCAGGAGTATGCACTCATGACCGCACCAGGGATCGAACCCGCAATCTTTAGGTTCTGTGGCAAGTACGATACTATTGAGCCACTGGGTCGGAATCTAATAGTCCACATTTCCAACCTCTGTCAATTCATGACATAGCTCCACTACAACCCAATGTCATCGCTGATTATTCGTCTTCACGGCCACCAGATTTGCTCCACTGTTCACGACTTCTCATTGAGACTTCAGGAATACCTCTCGAAGCTAGTCACCAATGAGCACAAGTTCAATTGAATTTTGAGAGGTTTGTGGGGATTTAGAGATATTTTAAGTTGGTATTCATCGTAGACTGACATCAACCCCCAGGTTTCCATTTTTCCTCCAACTGATGTCTATCTACAATGAATACGACCGTGACTTATTGATTAGAAGTCAACTGTTTAAACTAGTGAGCTATAGTACCAGAATGTTTTGTACAAGGTAAACAAAAAGCATATAAAAACGTGGACGTAACATCTTGAAAGTACACATATTAATAATAAAGTTTTTAATGCACGTGTCGTCAAGATTAGGTGGGTTAATTATCATAAATATACAATATTTTGTATTGTTTACAAAACTGAAACTTCATATTATATTCGCTCTTTATAGTACTTTTTAATATTAGTAGTAGGGTTCCACACCTTTTCTAAAAAGAATTCATTATTAAGCAGTTCTGTTAAATAATCTCTTAGGTTAAAGTCCAATACAATGTTGACATATATGAATTGTTTACAGATTATTCATATAGCAAGTGTATTGTATAGTCTGCCTATTAGGTGGATATATAAATTGGATATACTACTCATCACCAATTGAAGATTTAATTTAATACTACTACTACTACTACCACTACTACTACTACTACTACTACCAACACTACTAGTACTCAGACTGCTGCTACTACTACTACTGATACTACCACTCACACGACTACTACTACTACCGATACTACTACTGTTACAACTACTACTGATACCACTACTACTACCACTACTACTACCACTACTACTACTACTACCACTACTACTACTACTACTACTACTACTACTACTACCACTATTAATACTACTAACACTAATATCAGTGAAGTGAGTCAGTGCTTCTATGTGATGGTTGAGAGACTTGGTGGGTTACGAAAAGCATTTCCAACAAACTGTACACATACACCAAGAACTGCCCACGCTCGATACTGAAGATGAGATCAGATGGCCAGAATAATAAGAATAAACAACAAGGAATTCTCACCTGGCAACCAACCAACTAACCAACCTACTACGCATCGTCCAACAAATATACAGTGGAAGAAAGTGGAGATAGATTGGATTGGACGCATACTGAGAAGACCATTCGGGGACATCATGCACCAAGTCAGGCCAGGCCGTCGAGTGGAATCGGCATGGGAAACGACGAGTTGGGCGTCCCAGAAGAGGGTGATGTGGATGAGATGGTGTGAAGAAGAAATGAAATCTAGTGGGCAGTGGAGGAGCCAGGCTAGGAAGACTGTAGTGAAGAGAATGGAATGGAGACGTGCTAGTGAAGCCCTGTGTTCTACTATGAACTTAAAGGACGAATAATTATGATTAACATATCGCTAGGATTCTTAGATTCCTACTTAATGTGTTCAGAATTCTCTGTATGTTTTTATTATCTTCAGATAATAGAATTTTGCCATCTGCCTTCTCTACATCTACGTAGGATTTTCGTACGAGAAGAACAATCCTTTTGAGGTGAGACGAAGAGGGAACGATTTCCTTAAGGTCATCCGTTAGAGAGTTAATGGTTATTCAGTTCACTGGATACTAATTCATCAATAGGGATTGACATTTTCATTAACTGTTTATATCAAACTGAAGGATGAAAGGTCAAATTGAACAGTCAAGATTTACGAAGTTAAAATTGAGAAAGATGAAAACAAACTGGAAGACTGACAAAGTTGATCCTAGTCTTGGTAATGAAGTAAGGTTTACCAAGGTCTATGTAGTGTTTGAACAAATTTTCTTTGTACATATATAGCTACTCACAATTTGAATATACAACTGCTACTTTCAAAAATCTCAGTATGCGCCGCCGACTGTTTCTGTATAGAACTTTGAAAACTGTTATAGATGAATGGAGTCGTCTCTCACCTGAACTTATCAAAGTTTCACGCTCTATTTGCTTTAGAAGCCATTTAGGCAGGTACATGTTCTCCTACCCTCAATTGCATGGCTTGATTACTCCTGCTTATTTATGTGTGACTACACATATATGTAAATTGGCAAACACAATTGGATGTGATGTAATCATCGATGCAGGTTTTGCGTTTCTGATGTAGCTTGTATTTTGTTGCTTCTACAATGATAAAATGAGCTGCGTAATATGTCTTCCTAATGGCTGTTATTGGCCTACGTCTAAAAGCTATACTATTCAACTCTCCCCTGTATGGTAGAGTGTTATGAACAGTCCTCTTAGGGACCGTGTATAGCGTTAGGTTTAATGCTATCCAACTTTTAAAACGGTCTATAAACTTCAGTGGATATCTGTTTTACTTCAGTGTTTTGAATAGTAATTCGATACCTTCATTCATCGCCTTTGATTCTTGTTAAAAGAGATATTGTATTAGACGTCGCTTGATGAGACCTGGCTAGCGATGAGATAACCAGCCAGATTTTCGTTATATAACATATAAATATCAGCTAGTAATCATCCTAAATGACCATCCATAGTTACACCATCAAACTTATGGAAAGTGTTCACTTTCAAATGTGAAGTGAACTTTGTCAGTACACAGTAATAATAACTCCTTCAGAAAGGTTGAAGTAATAGGAAATGGGAGGTTTTTAGAGGATATATAGTCACAGAGAATGCTAATAGTCTTAGACAATGGCACGTTAGTGAATAAAGAATTTACATCGAAACAGGTCATAGTCTTGTTTTTGTTATTCATGTTAGTAAAACAGTTAACAAGTTGAAAAGTATCTTTCAATGAGTACTGTCTTGATTCACCATAATTGATGACTAAAGGGAAAGATGTATTCAACACTTGATTACTTTGTTTGGGGGGGTATTTTACTTTGGAGTAGTATACACCATCCAATCGAAAACGTAACCTCTATCTAACAAGTTTTAAAATGGTTGGAACCTCTTATCCTTCATCCCATCTTGTACATATGCTTGTAGAACTATATTAATATTAATATATTAATATGTATATTAATATTACTATTATTATTTATTGAATGACATAATAGAAGATGAAGTTAACCTATTTAATTGTTGATTTTTTTCGTTATAAAATTGTTAAATGACAACAGAATGCGTGTCTATTGAACCTGCTAAGATTGATAGTGAAAAATTGAAAGATGTTGATTCCATCAAAGTGTTTCTACGAAGTTATGAGTTGAATATCAATTTTGATCAGTAAGTTTACGTCTCTTTTTTTTTTCTTTTTCACTGTTAATTGTTGTCCATTATACTATTCACTTAAATAACTATTACTAAAATGATTGGTAGTCCTGATTGTGGTGGACTGGATCATGCAACAAACCGCGAGGAATGAGAAAAGGGGGATACACTTGACCGCTGAAAAGATCCTAAAAGATTTGGATTTCATTGATGACTTGTGTCTAATATCACACAAAATTGAAGGTCTACAGACAAAAACTCTTAAGTTGACAGAAGAGGTGAGGCAGCGGTGATGGGACTTCAAGTGAATGTAGAGAAGACAGAGGTGATGTGATGAAGATACGCAATCAATATCACCACCACCACCAACAAGCTCCAATCACCATCAACGGGAGAAACTTAAAGGAAGTTATCTCTTTCACCTACCTACCTACCTAGGCAGCATCGTTCCAACTACAGGTGGCGGCACAGACGAGGACGTCGAAGCCACGATCGGTGTTCATTAACCTGAAACCAGTGTGGAGATCTTCTACACTCAGCATAAGGCGCGAACAACATCTGGAATATCAACACCAATGCCAGTCAAGTCAGTGCTTCTATGTGATGGTTGAGAGACTTGGTGGGTTACGAAAAGCATTTCCAACAAACTACAGATATTCATCAACAGCTGCCTACGCTGACTCGATACTGAAGATCAGATGGCCAGAATAATAAGAATAAGCGACAAGGAACTCACTCTGAGAACGAACTAACCAATAGCCTATCACCCAACAAATATGCAGTGTAAGGAAGGGGAGATGGATTGGGCATACACTGAGAAGACGGATTGGGGACATCATGCGCCAAACCATTCCAAGTCGTTGAGTGGAATCGGCATGGGAAACGACGAGTTGAGGGTCCATGGTGAGGGTAACATAGAGGAGATGATGTGAGGAAGAAATGAAAGCTTGTGGGCAGTGGTGTAGCCAGGTTTAAAAGATTGCAGAGAAGAGAGTGGAATGAAGACGTGCTAGTGAAGCCCTATTTTCTACTAAGAACCCAAGGGACAAATAATAATGATAATATAACTATTAAAATGGTTGGTAGAATCCGATCAACACACTTGAAGTTGGTTACCCTCCGGTGACTAATTAGTGTACCCCAGTTCTACAGGAAGTCAGTCGTTGTTTGAATAGCTCTGACTGTAACATTAGATGATAGGGGGTTCCTATCTCAGATGAGGCGTCGATTCCGTATAGGTTTTAGATATGCGTTGCTGATGAGTGTCAAAAAGTACGATACGTAGGTCTGTAATATTTCTAAATCATTTTCAATATGTAAACTAGGAGATTCAGTCAATTTTATGAGAGAAACGTCTTATCAAACAAAGACTTATGTTAATTCCATTACTAATGACTTATTAATGTCCTACGAAATATTTGAATTGATTGTTATCAGATGTGTGTGTGTGTGTGTGTGTGTGTTTGTAAATGTTAAGCCGATCCAGGAAGGTGATAACAGACCGATCAACAGCTCCTACCTTTCACTAGGTGATTTGGTTTGCCAATTTTGGTGATTCAGTCAAGCATAACTATTGTCTGCATTGTTTGTTTGTTCATTTTTCAGTAAGCTAGGACGATTCGTGGAATTAATGTTAAGGTAAAAAGCAACAATGTGGTTACTAATAAAACCAAAGTTCAGAGCTATGTCCAGGTTATGTGAAGGGTACTAGGGTGGGACAAGCCTGGTAAGTGGCTTGATATGTGTTGTTCATGTTTGCCTATCTCCTACCTCCATATCCTATTCTGGAAAGGTGAGAGTGACCAAACTAACACGTGATACCAGTCTATGAAATATCTGACTATTGGTCTGAGGCGTGTAGTGAGGGGTAGATTATGCGAATGGGATCCCCAAGATGATAAGAATCAGTGTTTGAAGAATCTTGGTGAAATGGTTGCAAATCAGTCACTGTGGCGCAAATATATTCACTTTTCAACGTCTTCAAAAACTTGGAAATTTTCAGTAACCTTCATTCTTAAGCTCCTGTTCTTCTTATGTACTTTTATGTTGCACTTTTTCTACCCACTTGTTCTCCTCATGTCACTGTGATGTGTGACAACTTGAGGTGATACACATATGGGAATTTCTAAGTTGATTTCATCTCTCTGTCTGCCTGAGTACTGCTGGTGAACATCAAACCCATGGAAAGCAGTTAGGCTTCAGACGTGATTGTGAGTGTCCCTTCCAGATATTTACTACGCAACCGTTACCAGTTTCTGGAATGGAGACATACTTTCCGACTTCCGGCAATAGTTGGATTTCTGGAGTTGATATCAGTTTTCGACTGCCTTAATCGACAGGTTTTATGGTAGTGTCTTCAACTGAAGTGAGTATGGGAAAGTACATCGTCTCATTATTCACTATGTACATGAAAACCTGTGTTTTGGTATCCGGTGAGTTGTGGTGTCCGTCAAGGATGTTCACTTTCTTCATTCTTATTCAACTTTATTGAAGATATGTTTATAGAAGTCGCTCTCTCCTTGTCGGACTTCACGAGGAATGATCTTGTCGCAAGAGAATCCTTCGCAGTTCTAGAGTACATCGATGATCTAGTCCTGTTAGGTGAAGACGACAACAGCATAAAGAGTCTGCTGAACACACTAAGTAGGAATTTGAGAATGCTTGTGACGTGTTTCGGATCACTTAAATGTGAATAACTGCCTCACGATTAGTCTGCGTTGATACGTCGATTGACTACCGCACTTTCTTATGAATCCCTATTAAAACGGAAATCCACGCATTTAATGGCTGATTGAATACAATTAGATTGGACTCAGCAGTTACGTGCACGCTCCTACAGTAAGTAATAAGTCACATCTATTTTGTGAGAGCTGTTGATACTATCTGATCTTCTTATGCTGTGTAAGCGGGACAGGGTTCGAACCCGTGGGCCACTTATTGAAGCTTAAGGGCGTATACCAAATGAGTTATAGTTCAACTTGTAACCACTCAATTTGGCTAAATCAACGCTAGGAATCTCCAAGCTGTAATATGAATCTATTACCGTCACATAAAAAGTAGCTACCTGTGATCAGTAGAATAGCCTGGTGGTTAACGCTCTAGTGTTTGCATTCATGAGGTCTAGGTTTCAATGTTGGCGGAAGAAACACAAGTCACTAGAAGGATACAGGTACATTGAAATGACTAGTCTTCAAGACGACGAAAATCATATCCTTGATTCAACTACTAATATTTAAAGAGCAGTATCACCTTGTCTAATCTTATGATCATATATCTTTGTTTTCTGTCATTAACTACTTAGCGGTGCATGTATGAATATGTTAATCTGTGCCACTATTGAATGTCTGTCAACCCTTTACCCCAACTTTATCGACTTTGAAAAGGTCTTCGACAGCGTCGACCGAGAAGTAATTTGGTAGGCAGCTGCTTCGACACTACGGTTTTAGTGCCACAAACCTTTATCATCCTCATTCCACAGCTATATGAAGATGCCACATGCCCGGTAATTCACAGTGGGAAGCTCAGTGATGCCTTTGAATTGAAGTGAAGACAGAAGTAAGACAAGACTGCTTACTATCTATTACCGGTGACCTTCGTGATTGTGGTGTACTGGACTAAATGACGCAACAGAAAACTGTGAGGAGCGAGAAGAGGGGGGATAGGCTGGACCGAGGAAGAGACCATAGTAGGAGATTTGGATTTCGCCGACGATGATGATGATTTATGTCTAATGTCTTGTCGCACAAAGTCGAAGATCTACAGGCGAAAAACAACAAATTGGCAGAAGAGGCGAGGTTGCGAAGATGTGACTTCAACTGAATGCAGAGAAGACAGAGGTGATGTGATGAAGATACCCAGCGAACAACAACAACAAAAAAAAAAATCAACACTGTCAACAAAAGAAACCTAAAGGAAGTAGTCTGTTTCACTTACCTACCTACCTACATAGACAGCATCGTTTCAACTACAGGTGGCGGTGGCGGCACAAACACAGATGAGGATGCCAAGGCCAGGATCAGAAACACAGCAAGACAGAACTTCCTGCATTAATCTGAAGTAATTAGTGTGGAAATCTGCACTGCATTCCACTCCACTCCCCTCAGCATAAAGCGTGAACGACATCCCGATTTTCAACACTCATATCAGTGAAGTGAGTCAGTGCTTCTATTTGATGGTTGAGAGACTTGGTGGGTTACGAAAAGCATTTCCAACAAACTGTACACATACACAAAGAACTGCTTACGCTCGATATTTGAAGATCACATCAGCTCGTCAGAAGATAAAGCAAGAAGGAATCGCAGCTGGTTGGCTGGCTGGTTGGCAACGAACCAACCAGCTGACAACATATCGCCTAACAAATATACAGTGGAAGAAAGTGGAGATAGATTAGATAGGGCACACACTGAGAAGACCATTCGAGGAAATCATGCACCAGGTCAGGTGTTCGAGTAGAATCCAACTGGGAAATGACTCCTTGAGTGTTTGAGGGTGACATGGATGAGGTGGTGTTAGGAAGAAATGAAAGCCTATGAGCAATTGTGGAGTCAGGTTAAAAAGACTTCAGAGAAGAGGGTGAAATGGAAACGTGTCATTGAAGTCCTATGTTCCACTAGAGAACCCAAAGGAAAACTAATTATAATAATATAAATCTCTTCCACTAGTTGTCCTATCGTTATTCCATTTGAATATTTTTTACATATTTCTCATTTGTCTATTGTTCAATGATGCGATATGGTTGTGTGACATGTGGTGTGAACTGATACATCCGTTTTGCTCGCTCACTCCCACATTAACTCAATCATCCATGTACATATAACTCAACTACCTTTTCTTTTTCGCTTGTCAATCCGTTTGTCACTAAGTCTATAAGCATTAGACTGTGAATACAGTTAACACACTGAAATGAATCTCGATTCAGTGACTGTTACAATATATTTTTTTGAATGTCAATATTATTCATGGACTGACATCGTTTAGAGAAGAACTTTCTCTTCCTCCTATGAAACTCCTCATGT